CGGTCGATTCTAGCCGACACACTAGACGTATATTAACTATTATAGCCGTCGAGGAGGTAGGTGGTAATATGTGGTATGTGTAGGTGCTACTAAATTGGGCCAGCTTTTTTATCACCTACTTTAAGGTAATGTGTGTTTGATATCGACATAATCAGGAGGCCGCCAGCTGATCAAAGAATAGCTAGTCTGTCAGGCAGGTAGTCAACAGCTAGTAAGTACAGCAAGTCAACAGCGTCAACAGCTAGTCAACTAGGCAGTCAACAGCTAGTCAGGCAGTTAGTAGCTAGCTTAGTTAGCCACAGATCCTATATTGAGAGCCGCCTTAGGCCCCTTTCTGGGAATAAAAAGCGACTCCTGCCTATTTAGGAATGTAATTCTACACCTAATCACACACGAGGGTGGGGTTGAGTTTTGGCCGCAACTCACCTATAGGCTGTCATGACCACTGAACGGCAGCGTGGTCAGGTCCACGTGCTTGGCCCGCGCATACTTTACCTGGCTAGATCATGTCTACACAGGGCCTGAATTTACAGACGTTTCCTAAATAGCACTTACAATGACCAAATACACCATGCATGCTTCATTAGCGTCTCTCTACCTGCCGTAATCTCTGATGCGCTGCGAAAGCCTTTTGAACGACGCATCTTGAACTCATGATAATGCTGGCAGAGGCAAAGCTCTTGGCCGGTGAGTTAAAAATCTCCACGGGAGTTTTGCGCTCTTATCTTGCAGAGATTTTGTAAATAGAAATATACCGCTCCACGCACCCACTAGACTTCGCGTGGATATATGCACATGTGGCCAAGTACGCCGAAGTTTCGCGTGGCATTTATACAGGCTACCTGGAGCGGCCAACCGTACAGCGTAGGAACTACTGTGATTTGTCTGCAGCTGTTGGTGGAAAAATAGCACGTACCTAATAGGCTGGTGATTGTACATTCAATGCCGGCCACGGTGCCGCTTTTGTTTATGCGGATGGACCAGCGTAGAGGATGTGATGCAATTCGCGCGCCAGGGGCATTATGAGCGGAATAGCATTCATGCGATAAAAAGTTACATTGCAGGTTCATCCATTTTCCGTGGGAATCTTTTTTATTTTTACAACGGCGGCCTAGTTGAACTTTGCCATCAAGTCTGCCTTTGGAGGGTATTTATCTTAAACAGCGTATGCAAATAGCATCAACAATCGTTAAACCTGTTATAATGATTGATACATTTAGTGCGTGGGATTGATTGCACACGATATTACTCATGATGCCAACTGCCCTGCGATATGTCACCATCACCAGCCGAGCGGGCCTCTGGCGGAGGCTCAGCAGTGATGACAAAGTCATTAATCAAACCCGGAACCCTTGCAGGCTATGATTTCATGGACTATTGAGGTCTCGCAATGATCCATCACACAATTGAATGTGGCTTACTTCCTTGATAAAAAGTAGTCTTTCATACCTAGATATAGTATACCGCATCATGCTACATGCCAACAATGGTAAAACCTATGCTCTAAGAAGAGTTTCGTTTCACACGAAGTAGGCAGCAATAAGGTTTTGGGAAGCTTGATGTTGTTTCTCACCAAGCCTGTTCATCTGATTGATGTGCCGAAGATCCAGCCCACGAATACCTCAGCAACTCCAGTCCGGGGCTGTGAGTGAGAAATTCTTTGCTCATAGAAGCCTTCTACCTGAGCGAGTTTCATACAGATCCTTTCACCCCTGCAAATTTTATTCCTAGCCAAATTGTTCGTTGGTATCCTCACTACCAAACGGGCATAACCAAGGTAATGTACACGAGTTGTGAGATTCGGATATATTATGCCCAACTGACTCAGTACTCCAAATAGGTAAGGGGCATAATCCCAGATCTTTATGCTATGAATTCGACGTACACTATCCACGTGTCTAGCAAAAGCTCATAAATTGTCTTGATGCATCTCACTTTTGCCAGAATTCTGTAGCCTCAGCATGCATCTGCTCATTCGTTCTTTCTTTCTCTGTCTCTCTCTCTCTCTCTCGGAAAACCGAGTTTTCCATAATACCTGAAATGACTCTCAAGGCGGCTGTTGCTGCCGCGATTGCGACCCTGGTGGCTCGAAGAGTGACTGCCGCGCCGCTGCCCGAGTCTGACGTTGCCGCCAAGATTGTGGGAGGAACTGTTGCTCCCAATGGCGCATTTCCATTCATCGTGTCTCTATCAAGTGGAGGGCAGCATTTCTGCGGCGGATCGCTCCTAAATGAGGATTTCGTCCTCACGGCCAGTCATTGTCTTGTTGACGCGCGCCCAAATATCCAAGTCCGTGCTGGATCAAATGTGAGTTTCCAATCCGGTCAGATCTATTAGCTGCTTCTACTTCTAACACCAAGCTACGCAGGATCACACCACTGGCGGCACCGTCGTCAAGGGTTATGATCCGAGAATACACCCTGGTTTTACCAAGGAACTACTTGATCACGATGTGGCCCTCTTGAGGTTATCACCACCAATCAAGAAGAGTGCAAACATAGAGTTTGCCAAGATGCCAGAAAAGAACTCCGACCCCCAGGAGGGTATGAAAACGGTAGCTGGATGGTATGTTGCAGTTGGCCCTTCATTCTCGTCCTCCATCTCTGGCAAACGGATTCTTACATTTTTGGCTCAGGGGAACTTTGCAGGCGCAATCACCTGCGTTTCACGTGGATTTGAGACAAGTCAGCCTTCCTTTGATACCCCGCGAGGAGTGCAGTCGGCGGCTCCAAGATATGCCTGGACCGAGAGTCACGGAAAACATGATTTGCGCAGGCCAATTAGGCAAGGATTCCTGTAGTGGAGATAGCGGCGGGCCACTTATTGATGCTCAGACTGGAGTGCTTCAAGGTGTAGTCTCCTTTGGCTATGGCTGTGCCGATAGGAGGCTTCCTGGCGTTTATGCTCGAGTGGACAACCAACTTGATTTTATTCAAAGCGTCATGAACGGCCAGTCGCCCACTCAGCCCGGACCCCCGTCTCAACCGCCCGGCGGTAACCCTGGGAATCCCCCGTCTCAAACCCCCGGCGGTAACCCTGGGAATCCCCCGTCTGGACCCCCCGGCTCCAACCCTGGAAATCCCGGTCCTCCAGGTGGCGGATTCCCTCCAGGCGGCGGATTCCCTCCAGGCGGCGGATTCCCTCCAGGTGATGGAAAGCCCCCCGGGCCCCCAGGTGATGGAAAGCCCCCAGGTGATGGAAAGCCCCCCGGTGA